TTTTTTGTGAACAAAGGCTCACAAAAAACCCTTTACCTCCAAGGATTTGCAAATTTATAAAGGCTGCATAGAATTCAAGATGAGTCAGGGGGCAAAAAAAGGGTAGGAGGTCATTGCATTTTGATTATGGGTCAGTAGACAACATGGCATATACTGTGTCCCAAACTTCTGTTAAAAACAGGATTTTTAAATGCCTAAGAACAGAAGGATGGGCCCTTTTGGAGATTTGCCATGATTTGTTTGGATGAGACAAAAAGAAAAAAAATAAGGAAAATATACTAAGTTATAATTTAAGTTTTTTAATTTAGCCATTTCCTCCTCCTCTATTCTCAAGTTCTCCTCCCAAACAGCAAAGAACATGTGAGATTAGATAAATTTAGGTAAGAACTGTTGACTATCACACAAGCTTTTATTGTCTTACAGCCTCAATTAATTTAACCATATGAGGCTTTGAATTATTATTATTTTAGTCTTTGTTATAAGTATTATAGTTACTTTTGGTTAACAGCACAAAAAGCTTCTTTTATGCTCCTAACTAGTACACGTACATTGTTGAGGCCTTTGTGATGTTCCTTGGTCTTTTCTGTCTGAATTCACTTTGAACAAAATGTGCCCAGCAATCTTTAAAACAAATGTATATGGTGAAGAGTTAGGCAGTGGGGATGGTGTTGGGGGGCTGTGGTGATCCTCATTTAAATTACGTATGTATGGATGAAAGCTTGGAAGGAAAAGGATTATTTTAATGCTCTTCAGTACTTTGATTATAAGACAGTGTAGTGTAGAAATACAAAAGTACTCTTAGGTTTTCCTTCAGATTTTCAAAAGAACTTTCCCCATTAGTAAACTATTTCTGTAAATTGCTATTGCATTTCCCAGCTAGCCATTTAAAAAGACTGTAAATGTCGTGTGCATTACTTTGCCCCAGAAGAAAGAGGTCAGACTGAATTGCAATGGTATTTAAACATGAAATACGGTAAAAATAAATCAAAATAGATAATCTAAAGGTAAATTTGGCACATTCACACAGGATAAGTAAAGACAAATATGTTCATATCTTCATAGCCCATCCCTTTAAAACCTGAAAGTGCTGATTTTTTTTTTTTACAATAAATGTAGATGTAAGTGAACATATAGAATGTATTTCTATCTGTATTTGTCACAGAGGGTTCTTTAGCAAGCAGCTTTGTTTTCAAAGCTAAAATACTTTTTATTATAGTGTATAGATTATGCATTCCTCACAGAGTAAATAATCACATTTAACTTATAAACTCAAAGCCTTTCATTATATATACCTAAATTCTCAATAAGTAATTTCCTGGCCCCTCAGAGATGGATATGCACATAATGTTAATTTGGGCATATCCACCAACATATGTATATGAGTTTGAGAAACATAGAAGTTGATATATCTTTTCTTAAAAAAGAATTTGAATACAGTCCATCATCTGAATTGGGTTCATCTTTGATTGTAGAGGCGGCTGACATGGTCAACAAATTTATCAAAGAAATCCCCTGGCTTTTGAAGAATAGTACTTTATACATCTGGATCTGCACATCCAGGCAAAGTAAGTAAATTATTGCATAACTTTAAGCATAATTGATACCAGACACCTTTAATTTTTCATCCCCATTCTTTTGGCCAGCTTTCACATTAATAATCTAAGCCATAAATGTTGGTAGCTATTGATCGAACTCCCCTGTGTGCATGCAAATCCATCTTAAAGTCCCCTGCCTTTCATGTGTGAGCGCTCAGGGGCCTCTCCTAGATCTTTTTATGGGGATCGACCCCCAATGTGCCTGGAGAAGACCCCGGATATGCAACGTGGGCTGATGGCCACAAGAAAGCTGTCTGTCACATTCTCTGTGTGTGTATCTGTGTGAATGCGCGTGCTCACGCCTTCACACATACACACACACACACACACACACACACACACACACACACACCGATGGGGGAAGTTAAAGGAACAAAAGAATGTATTAGACAAGAAGAAAGATGTGTAATAGGAGTATTAAAAATGTATAAGTGTATAGGTGTCTGGGTGCACATACGAAGATATTCCTATAAATTGAAGGTCTAGACAAATTCCCAAATCCCCCAGCCTTTATATTTCTCTTTTTGACCCACCTGATTATACCCTTAGTTTAAAAAAATACTTAATACTCTACTAGTTTTTAAAACCACCTATATTGTCAGTATTTTAAAGATTGAAAGAGAGGAAAGGAGAGGGAAAGAAGGTAATTTTGAAACGGCTACTAAATCATGTTGCCATATGCAGGAGGAATAGGAGTGTGTATGTGTGTCCGTGTGCGCGCACGCGCGCGCGGCCTAGTGCGCGCGCAGGCGCGCAAATCTAAATAGGAATCAAGAACAACTAGAACTACCTGCCCCCCCCCCACCCCCGAAAAAAAAAGAAAGAAAAGAAAAAAAGGCGTGGAAGGGGGCAACGCTGTAGGCAACCTATTGTAATATCTTCTCAAAGGCTTTTTCTGAGTTTACTATTTCTTGGCTGTTTGATCGAAATCTTAAGGCTGGGGGAGGGGAATTGGACGGGAGTTGGGTGGGAGGAAGAGGCTGGCAGTATATAAGTGCATCAGGAGGAATTTTAAAACATTGTTGCTAGCAATTGAAAGACTGTGGTTATTCTACCTTAAAAAACAAACATCAGCATCTGCTTTTCCTGGAAACTTTGCTTTCTGCTTAAACCTTGTGCATTTTCCCTCCTGTGAAAGTGAAAGAGAAAAACGCGGTGTGATGGATCCAGATGCAAAAGAAAGCCAACTCGGTGGATGGTATTAGCTGTGACGAGGCATTGTTCATTGCCGCCTGTGGGTTACGTTTAAAGCCTGAAATATCACGAGATCCATTCAATGATCCTTCTCTCATTCAAGGGACAAAAATGTAATTTGCTGTAGCTCTGATTTCTTGGATGGAAATGCTAGCCTTAGATTTCAAAGGCAAGAACTAGACATCGCGGTTTGTACACACATTGATTAAGTTGAAGAGCGGCGATTACATCTGTGCTGAGTGCAACAGTAGTCCAGGGCTGACTTTTCAAATCCCAACCTCTGAGTTACAGACTCTCTTAAATAGACTTCCTTAATTTCCGGATGCACTTCTTGAAAATCCCAATTCTCTTCAAAATTCCTGGGAAATTACAAGAGATCTAAGGGTGGGGGTGGGGCACTATGGCCGAGATTTCATGCAAACTACCTTTTTGTATAAGATTCCTCAGTTTTTATCTTTTTTCTATTTTAGAGCTATATCTGCTTTTGCTAGCCAGACCAGAGGAGTGAAAGCTGGAACTTTTGAACGTGAAGGAAGAAATTATTGTACAATTTTTTTCTTGCAAGCTCAGAAATATCCATTTATTCTTTTGACCTTGCCGATGTCTGTTTTTGGAGGAATAAGGAAACAAATGTATGGGTTACATTTATGCTGTAGTTGCAAACACCTAAGGGTTAAGAAGATTTTGCCGAATTTTGCAAAGCAGCCAACAAACCGCCTTGGGATTGTGGTAACACAACTGGGAAGACCCTTGCTCTCATTTGGCAATATTTTGGATATCCTTGAAAATGACACCAAAATACGCCTTAATTTGAATAAGAAGAGGTTAAACAATATTGATATTCATCCAAAGTGATTTTTTTTTAAAAAGCAGATGCTTGGCTTTCGTAGGGGAAAAATGAGAGTTGTGGAAGATTCGTTTAAACTACCAAGTAAAAGCATCATAGATTACTGAAATGGTCTGCATTGTACATCAGCATTCTCTTTTCACCGTCATTACGTAAAACCTCTGGATGTACTTTGGGCGTTTTACGTTTTCTTTTCTTTGCTGCAGAAACAAGCTGCTCCCTGGAATTCTGACCTGCGGTGAACAGGATCTAGGCAAAGGCTGTGCTGGGGACTCTGGATCCGTCCCCAGTCCAGCCTGGTGAATTGTGAAAAGTGTACACATTTCTAGCTTATCTATGCTTTGTTATGGGTCTGACGTGAAACTACCTCCTCCCTACACCATCCCCCAGCAGAGAACCCAAATCCAGATGAATTGTTACAGTGTTTTGGAGCTGGAGCCCTGAACTGCTTCCTTGGTCAAATAACTTTGTTTCTGGTTGTAAAAAAGTATTGCAGGAGGAAAAAAAAAAAAGGAAAATCGAGCGAAATTCAAAACGTAAGTCCATACTGGGGCGATTCACCGCGTGGGTTTAACTTTGGAGCTCGTAGCCGGTCTCCTTCTCCATTCCCATAAGGGAAATACCAGGCTATTCTGCACATTTTCACTTATGCTCCATTTTCCAAAGGAAAAGGGGGGCGGGGTGTATCTATATAAGCTTGATAATGTTTTTAAAATGCTTTTCTTTGAAATAATAGCTGTAGCGGTAAAATGCAAATAAAGCAAAAAAAATAGGCAATATTCCTTTAAAGGCGAATATACAGGTTTGTTTTTTTTTTAAGCGTACACACACTGGTTCAGATGAAGTCTGTGAGTCAGGCTGTTTCTGAGCTCCGATAGTTTAATGGAAAGATTTATATACCAACTGTATTATTTACTTTGGGAGGGGAGGTGGCAGTATAAGGGTATGCTAATTAGTGGGAGATTTTGGGGGGAAGGGGTGGAATATCAATTTTTATTGCATCACCTGTCAGGAGTGTCCAATCAGCGTTGGCTTTAGGGGAATTAATTGATGAAGGTGTCTCCGGACGAGCTCACTTCACTCTGTCATTTTATTTGTAGCTAAAGCAGCGACGGGAATAGCAGCTGCATTTCTTTTCTCTTTCTCCCTTCACATTCCATTATCAAAGTGCTCCAATGGAGAAGGAAGAAATAGAGGGGCCCAGGTACTGATCTGCATCTGGGACTTACACTAACACACTGGCAGATCAGAAGCCGGATGGTTTTTCCCCTCTTTTAAAAAAACGAAAACCAAAAAAACAAAAAGGCAAGAATCAAGTTAGTGTAATTTCACGTTTGTTGTTTTTTTTTTTTTAATCGTTTTTTTGTGTGTGTGTTCTCCCCCCACCCCCCCAATAATTTCGCCTAGAGTTTGGCACTCCCTTCGCCGGGAATAACAGTCTTTGTTATTTTATTAGCAGGATGCCTTGAGACACACGCAGCATCTGGTGGAGGATTAACATACATACATGTGTATGTATGCGTCACGTATATATTTGCTGCAAATGGTGGGGATCATTTAGTGCCCGAGATGGGAGACCTGAAGTCAGGTTTTGAAGAGGTGGATGGCGTGAGGCTCGGCTACCTCATCATTAAAGGAAAGCAAATGTTTGCCCTCTCCCAAGTCTTCACGGATCTGCTGAAAAACATCCCGAGGACGACCGTGCACAAGCGCATGGATCATCTCAAAGTGAAAAAGCACCACTGCGGTCTGGAGGAGCTGCGGAAACTCAAGGCCATCAACAGCATCGCCTTCCACGCCGCCAAATGCACGCTCATCTCCCGGGAAGACGTGGAAGCGCTCTACCCCTCCTGCAAAACCGAGCGGGTCCTCAAGACCAAGCGCAGGAGGGCCGGCCGGGCCCTGGCCACGAAGGCGC